TGAAGATGCTTCGCCTCCCACCTCTGCTCCCCGCACAGCGCCGGGTGGTGACATCCCCTCGCTCTCTCACCATGGGGTGTGTGAGCACCCCATGCAGTTAGGTCGTGCAAGCCAAGCCAGCTGCCTTTGCAAGAAGCAGACAGCAAACACTCACGCACAGCCCACGCGGCCGCTGGAGGCTCCGTGCAGTGACCTCAGGCAGCGGGATCATAACTAACCCCGGAGAGTCAGCAGGGTCAGGGTCTGCTGCTGGCCAAAAAGTACATGCTCTTCTTTTGTCGTTATTTTCTTTTCTCTTTTAAGACGTGTGCTGCTTTCCTACCAGGGCTGGCGGCTCTGGAGTCCTCGCTCACCTCTCGCTGCAATGTACACACAGCTACTGTGTCTGCTCACACGGAGAGTGCCTGGCCTGGTAATTGCAGCCTGTAGCTCACAATGAGAAAGCCAATGCCAATAGATGTATAATGAGCATTTAAAAGGCTCTTAGTTTGTCATCCAATCGTCTATCATCCTCATTGTGTAAATATTTTTGTTTCCACAACAAAATGACTTTAAAAGAAATGTTCACCAGGAAGAAAAAAAAAATTGATTCTGCTGATAAAATCAGGACAGTCAAAATGATTAATGTGACATTGATGAAAGCTTGCAAATGAGGCTTAATTTCTGTGGAAAAAAAAAAAAAACACAACAAAACAACAACAACAACAAAAAACTCATGGATTCATCAGTGCTTGGTTGTGCCTGGAAATTCAGTGGCAACTGGAAATTTGATGGTGACCTCTGATAAGCGAGAAAATGGTGAGAGTTTTAATGAATTATTTGAATAAGAAAATAAATAAGTCACTCTGTGTAGTATTCTTTCTGATATTTGTTTTGCTATTAAGTCCAGTTAATGCAGTTTTCATTGTGTCATGACGTTTGTGTTGACAAAGCATCATGGCATATGAGCATTGCAGGGTGTTTGGCTGTCTGGGAAGGAGATACATCACCTGAGACACACAAAGGCAGAACAGGGAGGTTATTGTAATAGGAAGTAGTTTGGAAGCCTTTGGCAAGACAACGTCAGAGATCATAAAGACAGAAAGGATCCTAGCGAGCATCTTTCTTCTCTGTCACACAGGCCACAGGACTTAAACGAATTCCTTGCAGTTCAGGACAGAACATATTTTTTTTTAGGGAGAAAAGTCTAGTCTTAATACATCTAGAAAATAGGGATGGAGAAAGTGCCATATGATAATCCTCACCTTTCTGCAGAGGGTAGGGAAATGACCTCTTATTCTCTAGCTTGCTCATTGCAATAACTACATATCAAAGCTGATTAGAATTACGGGTTTTCAATCTTTTCTAGATTCTGGTGCCTTCAGTGTTTTCCAGGAAAAGTAGAGGAAATAAACCAGACGCTTTTCATGGTTATCTTGCAGAGCCTACTTAGATACAGCGCATAGTTCCCTCAAAGATCCCCAGAGCAGAAGCTGGACACCTGTGAGCTAAACTACACGCAACACAAAAGGCACCACGCCACTTTTTCCTTCAAGCACATTCAGTGCTTGGGTGGCCACCCAGAAAGCCTTCCCAAGGCTCTGCAGATCATCGCGGATCCCTGCAGTTCATCCAGACAGCTTCCAGCTCTAAGGTCTGGGCATGGTGGCTCAGAGGTGGGCAAGCAGAACAGGGCCACATTTTCCTTTTTGGTTTCCCTTGGCAGACACTGGCCTGGATTAACTCTTTGCCTCGCACCATAGCAGTCCTGCAGCTGTCCTCACCTGCACCGCATTGCCTACAGGCAGGGAGCTTCTCTGCTTGTACAGGCGCTTTGCCAGGGACAAAGCTATTAAGGATGTATTTGGCAAACAAAGAGTCGGTCATACAGAGATCCTGAGGACAGTGAGCGGAGAGGGAATGCTCTTCCTCTTTACGTACAAGCTTATATATGTGAGCATATGGGCCCACGCAGAAGCAGACGGTTTGGCCCATGCATAAGGAGAGAGTTGGAGTAATCCCTGAATAACCTTGACTAATGCCATAATAAGCTAATGGAAGCTTTTGGAAGCTCTTCAAGACAGTGTAATGTTTAACCTTGATCCTTCAACTCAGTTTATTTTGGTCTTTCTGAATACAAAATTGCTTACCTGAGGTAGGAGCTCATGGTGGATTTTTCAGAAGGAATTTAAATAATTGTGGTAGGATCCACAAAGGTATTTGGATGCTTTGTTTCCTTTGAATTTGGTGGCAGTTAAGGGCCTAATTACTTTTACCAATCTGAGCTTTTGCTTACCATCTCTGTGGTGTTATAATGCTCCCATGCTCACCTCCCTTTAGGCTCTTGGATAAAGGATTCTGCCCTCCCCCCCCCCCCCCCCCACACACACACACACGCACACACTTATTTATTTTTTATTTTTTTCCTAGAGGGAAAAAGAAGAATATGTGGCTGTATCTCAGTCAATTCAGCACAAGGTCTACTGGCTTGGCTCAAAGTGCCAAGAAACTTATCTAAGTCTCTCGACTTTCCAGCAAAGCAGATGAAGGGCATAGGTGCTTTTTGCTCAGTGCTCAGCTATGGGGACTGTAATGACTAGCAAAGTAGCAGAGCAAAATTTGGGGGGCAATAACATCTTAAACTGCAAGTGCACATATGAATTCTTGAAGCTTTTGTTTGTTTGTTTGTTTGTTTGTTTGTTTTAAATCAAAAGGATTTACAGACTTAAAAACATAGTTCATCTTTATGTCAGCTTGAACTAACAGCCATGGCAATTGTGTGTCCAGGCACAAATGTCCACACAAAAAGATACCTATTTTTAAAATATTTTTTTCATGCAAAAATACCCCAAAGTGTCTTCACAGTATTACCTCAAGTAGAAAGTACATCAAACAAAATATTCACTCAGTCACTTTTATTCATATGAACAAAGCATTTTACTGTGGCCAACTGAACATGCATCTAAAAGGAGAGATGAAGAGCAGACAGCACATTAGAGGGAAAGAAAGACTTTATCTGGGAGTGTGCAGGAGAGTGAAGGGAGGTTCATGTGAGAAAGCTGCAGCAAAGGAGATTTCTTTCCTTAGGGGCTGTAGTAAGGAAAGAGGAAGAGCTGGTGCTGGGTGATTCAGGGAGCCCCAGAGGGTAGCAGAGAAGGACTTGGGCCGTGTGATGTGGTGGATTTTGAAAATAAGGAGAGGGTTCCTGATGCTGCGATGCAAAATTCCACACTGGAGAAGGAGCAGAAGTTAGACCAGAAGAGGGCTGAGATTTATTTCAGAAGAGGTAGACAAAGAACAAAGATGTAATTTTATCAACAGATTTGTCCTTACAGGAAGATTTCGAAGATGGGGGTGCTGGTGGAGACTTCGTGAAATTAATTAGCAGACCTAACCTTGTTTTCTACATTCAGCACAGACCAGAGAGGAAACAAAGCCATTTTAATGCCATTTTCCTTCCAACACATTTACTTTCTAGAAAGAGAGCAAAGAAAATATTGACATGCCAGACTTGATGGGATCCTTCATTTGGAACAGTACGGTCATTTATTCTTCAATTGGACTGCATATTTCTCCAGTCGGCACAGCAAAATGCTCAGAACTGTGGAAGAATATTTATTGTTTAGAGAGTCCTTGGACACCTCCACAAACTTTGTCTTGCTTCTCTGACCAGGAGCTAAATTTAGGCACTTTGTTCAATTGAGGTCCAAACAGCTGTTGTGTGAGCAGAGCTAAGTATTTTTAAGGGTATGAGACAGTTACAACATAACTTGAGCCATCTTGCTTTGAAAGAAGCAGGTGTGTGTCTAGCTGTATAGTAGCAGAGGAAAGAGAAACTACCTTAAAGGCATGTTTATTTCTGCTATTTCTCAGTGATACTGGCAAAGATTGGCAGATTTAAATAATATCTCTTAAATACTTGAAGACTCATAGCACCTCTGTGAAGCTGCTTGGTTACCCTTCAGGTTACCTCGTTCTGCTTGTGATGCGCGTGGATATCAGTTGCTCATGACTATAGGTGCACTGCATTTAACTTTCTGGGGCTGGACCTAATGATGATCTATGGGTGCTGTGACAATATAGATACTCTAATCATGGCAGGATAATACAAATTCCACCTGACAATGAAACGTTGCTAGCTCGGCTGTGAAGCATGGCAGTCCACAATGATATATGCCGACAGCTACATTGGCAAATTGCTGCAAGCAGCAAGTTACGTGCGTCAGCTGCCTTTTTCTCAGTTGAAACTTGACCAGGAAGCCTTCCACAAAGCAGATCAGAAGATGTTTAATGACTCGGAGTAATTAAGAGTTTGTTTTCCATTTCTGCTGGCGGATAGACAATAGGACATGGCCAAACAGCAAACCCCCTCCACCCTCTGGCTCCCCCTGTCCCAGCTATCGAAGGATCGGTGGGACAGGAAAGTGCGATGAGCGGGCACCGTGAGTGAGGGACGTGATGGGTATGGGAAGATGGGGCTGTGGTGCCACATAGCTTGGGCTCAGGCCTTGAGATGAGTCCTGTGGCCATGAGGCTGGTCCTGCACCAGCGCTTTGCCTGCTGAAGGCAAGTTCACGTTAACATGAGGTGAAGGCTCCTCACTGCATGAGGCAGTGAGGAGTGAAACCCATCATCTGTCCTTAATTCAAAGCACGGGGACTTTCAGGGGCCTCAACTTCACACTTGGCCTCACTGAGGCCAACCAGGGCAGCAGGGACATCGCCGCGGTCGCTGTGACAGGGCAGGGATGACAGCCGCCATGTCGCGACAAAGCTGCGAGCTCTCCCCCGTCCCTCAGCGGGCTGCCCCGGGCCCCCGCTGCCGCTCTCTCCGGCCGGGCAGCGCCTTCCTCAGGGCCGCCCTCGCCGCTCCTCCCGCTCCCGCTGCCGGTGGCGGTGCCGCCGCCCTCAGCCACCTGCGGCCGGGCGAGGCGGAGCGGAGCGGGGCGGGCCGGGGGAGGGCTCGGCCGCCCTCCAGCGCCCAACGCAGCCAACCCGCGCCGGCCGGGGCCGGGCCATAAAAGCGCCGGGAGCCGGCGGGGCTGCGGCCGGAGCTGGCGGGAGTGGTGCCCGGGGTGTCTCGGGGTGGGCAGCCCGGCTGGCCCCCAGCCTTCGCCGCCTTCCCCCAGCGCCAGCAGCGGGCCCCCTCCCCGCCCAAGATGCTGTTTTGGCACACGCAGCCGGAGCACTACAACCAGCACTCCACCGGCAGCTACCTGCGGTGAGTCCCGGCGTGAGCGCGGCTTTGCCCGCAGGAAAAAAAAAACAAAAAAAAGCTCTTTCTGGGAGGTGTGGGCTTCCTCTTGCTCCTGTCTCCCTCCCACGGTAACATCGCCACGGACGACTTGCCGGGAGCTTCGCCCCGAGCCCCCCGCCGGCTCCCTGCGCCCCGGGGGCTTTGGCTGGGCTCCGGGGGGGAGCCTGGAGAAGGGCTCGCAGGGCGCCCGCTTTGCTCAGGACGGGCTTTCCGCCTCTTCTTGTTGGGACCAGGAGCGAAAAGCTCTTAATTTCACTTTCTGAACTTGTCTAAACCAGCTTTTTCCTGCCTCCACACAGGCGCGTTTAATTAAATGTGCCTAATTTAAGCACAAGGGCCGCCGAACAATAGTCCGCAACATGTGTTAGCGCAAACTCGTATTTCCTCCCTCCAGAAGACAACAAAGCAGGCAACTTTGGGAGTTTCCTTTCTGCTGGGTGCTTACGAATTATTTTTCTCGGGATGTATAAGGCCGGGCTCTCAGCTGGTGTCGATTGCTGCTGCTCTGCTGGAGCCCCATTGCACTGATGGGCAGCAGTGGAGGCTCTGTGGTGGCCCAAGAGCTGTGCTTTCCAAAGGCACCCCAAATAGCTGCTCCCGAGAGATGGCCAGCTTGTCTGGCGAAGCACCTCACACACCGATAAGGCTGCTCTTTCAATGCGACATGCAATCGTTACAATTCCTGCTCCTTATCAGTACTTGCAAAGGAATTTTTCAACCTAATAATCACTCGCCGTTATCAAATGATAGGGTAGCGTGAGGTTCTTGCTTGCCAGCAGCCTTCCTCGCTTCTTCATCCAGGGTGCTTTGCCTCCTTCCTCTACCCCAGTGAATATTTTAACAGTGTGCTTGGGGCAGAAGTCTTGTGCTCTGTGCTTGCAAAGCTGGTGAGGACAGTGAGAGCAGCAGTAGCAGGCAAGCCTCAGCCCTGCAACTTGTGCCTACAGCTGCTGTGATAGCTCTTGTGCTGCTCAGGTTGATCCAACACTATGGGTTTGTAGCATCCGAGTGCTACAAGATCATCGAGTCTGGGTCAGGCTTGAGCCCACAGTTCAGCTTCCTTTGAACTGGCCAGGAAAGACATCTGGTTATTTCTGCTTGATGCTAGCAGTTGTGGGGTTTGTGCTCTGGCAGGAAGGCTGCTGGTGTACAGGTAACCTGCCGGTGCTCCAGCAACAAGTGTCACCTTTAGTGAGCACTTGCCACTGTGATCTGGGGCTAAAAGCCCTACAACCAGATTTATGGCAGCATTAAGTGATAGCCTCAGGCATTTCGGGGAAGGTCAGTTGAACAAAACACTTTTTTTTTTTTTGTGGAGACCTCTAATTCTGACTAACTGATGGGAGGATGTCAAGGCATGTTTCTGGAGAGGGACGCTTTGTTTTGGGCTGTGACTTTGTGAGGGCTGTCTGTACCCTCCGGTTGAGACTGTGCAGGGGAAGCTGAACTGGTACAGTCCTTGAGGTAGCTATGGGAAAAGTTTGTGTGGATTATAATTTTGTAAGGATCAAGGGCTTTGTGCATATCTGAGACATCTGTGTAAACTCTGGCATACCTCAGTGTGATGCGGTTGCAGTTGGTATTTGTAATTATAGCAAGACAACGCTACAGATAAATTCTTGCAAGTCTTCCCTCACTTTCATAGAAATGTATGTATTTTGATCTCTGCTCTGCCAGCTGGCTGAGCCATCTATCTTGCAAACCTTCTCCCTTTCCCCAGGTAAGTGGACCAACCTTTAGTGAAGATGAGAACACTAAAGCTTTAGCATGAAGATGAAACTTGGGAGAGTTTTAAGGTTCTCCTCCTTCCCCCTGCCCTATTTTTAAGGGATTTTTCAGGGGGAAAAGGATGTTGTTTTTTTTAAATTGCTTTTTCCAAAACTTGATTTGTAGCTCTTGTGAAGGGAGTTGAACAAATATTGGTGTCTTATTTGCTTACACATTAGAAATCCTTTTAACCCTTGACCTATTGTTCATGTATTCTATGTTCCAAACAGTTCTAGTAACATGAAATGTTTCATGAGGGTTTGATCCAAAGTTCGGGATACCAGTGGCTGAAATGCTACAGGAATAAGAAGGTGACTTATCTGCACGGCTTCATTAGTGCTTTCATATGGTTAAGCTGTCCAGCAACTAAATCACGTATCTGTCAGTGCTTACAGTCATCAACTATCAGACAGCTGTTCTGGTGACTGTGGGGGTGTTAAGAGCTTGACATGAAATATAGTGTTTTGGATTTCGACTTCCCCTTGTCTAAGTTTCTCAACCGTTTCAGCAGAAGGGGAGGAATTGGTATACCTCGCTGTTAACCCTGGGTCAGATTTTGCATGCTCTTTATTTCTGCAGAGCTGCTGAAGTGCTCAGGCTTGAGAGCTTTTGGTCTGCTCTCATCCGTGAGGCAGCGTGCATTCCTCTAGCGCTGCGCAGAGGAGTGCGTTGGGAGCAAATGTTGGCATCCGGGGTGAGCGAGATGGCTGGAGCAGTGTCAGATCCTGCATGTGTGTGGAGCAATGGTATCTATTTCAGAAATCTACTGGAGGCATTTCTGTCACTTCATTACTGTAGTAAATCATCATTAAGGGGAAAAAAATGCAACCTCTCTATGGTTGCAGTTGGGTAAGAGCAGTGGTTATGTCAGTAATGCCAGTAAGCGAACGGGGCTGGGTGCTTTCAAGCTGGTGATAATACGGAGGGGGTGCACTTGGAAGAGGGAATGGAAATAGATGGGTGTTTCTTTTCTCGTGAAGTGGCACGGTTTGCTCTCTGGCTTTATTTCTCCATAAACAGGAGCACCTGAAGCAGGCACTTCAGCAGCTTGCTATAAACTGCTGCACCACTTCACTGCTGACCTGGGTAGCCTTCAAGGTCGCGGGTGTTATGAGTGAATGCGAGGTGGATCATTAACTGAACAGGCAAGGAAAAATTCTTGACGCTCTTTCCATAGGCAGCATGCCTGTATGCACTGGCATTCTCCTGAGCAGCTTTTCTGGAAGCTTTTGGTGTATGGGGATTACTGAAAGGAGCAGAACTGCAGCCGATGCGATGGGGATTCGGAGTCTTCACACATATGGAGGAAGCAGAGGAAAAGAAACCTGATTGCGTATTCTGAACTGTGTTCAATATAATCCTCCTAATTTGGAAGGGTATTAATGTCTTAAGTAGCTAGATACAGTGATCTGAAATGCTAGAGATGCAGGAAAGGCTAATGGGGCTCTCCAGCATTAGACGTGCTGAGATGAGGGTGCTTGTTCCTGGCATCTTTCTGTGCTAATCATTCTGCTGTGCTGCCAGCCTCGCTGACATCCGCTCTGCTTGGGGACTAGCACGGGCTGGGATCGGTGTGGCTGTAAGGCAGCACAAACAGCTTGTAAGGGAGTGGGAGCTGGGACTGCACGGCTCCCTGAGAAGCTGCTGCTGAGCACCTGTTGGCTTTCGTGAGGGTAGTCTGTCTGAAGGGCTGTGCTGTTTCTCAGGACCAGGTTTATGAAGGTGTGAGGAGATGTTAGGAGATGAGTAATCCAGCAGTCCATGACAGGTACCTGCACAGCTCCTTTTTTACAACAGGCCTATGTGGGCTTCTGACCCTTTGCTAGTACTTGCAGAACTTTTACTAAGCGGACATTTAGCTGTCAAAATAGCGTCCTTTCTTGCTTTTTTTCTTCTGATAGACTTTAGTTTATCAGAGAGGTGGGTTCACAGATCACAGAGTGGTTTGGGTTGGAAGGGACCTTAAAGCCCATTTAATTTCAGCCCCCTGCCATGGGCAGGGACACCTCCCACCAGCCCAGGCTGCCCGAAGACCCATCCAGCCTGGCCTTGGGGCATCCACAGCTTCTCTGGGCAGCCTGTTCCAGTGCCTCACCACCCTCCTAGTAAAAGAATTTCTTCCTTATATCTAATCTAAATGTCTCCTCTTTTAGTTTAAAGCCATCGCCCCCTGTCCTATCCCTACTCCCTGACAAAGAGTCCCTCCCCACCTTTCCTCTAGGCCCCCTTTAGGTACTGGCAGGCTGCTGTAAGCTCTCCCTGGAGCCTTCTCTTCTCCAGGCTGAACAACCCCAACTCCCTCAGCCTTTGTAGGAGAGGTGCTCCAGCCCCTAGATCATCATTGTGGCCCTCTTCTGGACTCATTCTGATACTTCTGTCAGGGGAAACTGCTTAACTAAAAAGTAAATCTAACTTATGTTTTTAAAACATTTTAATTTTCAGAAATACTGTTTTGCTAATGCTGTGTTCTTTTGTGTCCAGTGTTGACATCCTAGAGGCAGAAGCTGCCTTGTTACATTCTGCAGGCCAAATTCTTTCTTTTTTAGCCATCATAACTCAGCGTTTCTCCAGAGATCATCTCCATTATTGCTGAGCACGAGAATCAAATCCAGATTGAGAGTAGAATATTCCATAAAGGCTTTGTAACTAAATGTGTGTGAATTGTATGTTTCAGAGATGTCCTTGCACTGCCGATCTTCAAGCAGGAAGAACCTCAGCTGTCTCCTGAGAATGAAGCCAAATTGCCTCCGTTTCAGTACGTCCTTTGCACAGCCACATCACCTGCTGTGAAACTGCATGAAGAAACCCTGACCTACCTCAACCAAGGTAGGGTTTGTACTACATGAAGGAGGGCAAATTTCCTGGGAATGATTCATGAAAGAGAATGAATCCAATACTTGTACCTCACTGGGCGGGCAGTGGGAAGGGGAAAAGAAGGAAAGATATGGGGAGGGGGATGGAGGAAAGGAGGAATCTTTAATTTTTCACATTTGTATACCAGATTGTCTACTGATGTAAGATGAAGTACCACTGATTTTTAATTGTTGACTTAAAGCAGCTTTATAGCATGCACCATGTGGCCAGGTACTGGCTTGATCTTCAACAATTTGGAATACAGCCTCCTACCTTCATCTTGACAGGCCAGATGAATTTAGCAGATGGGTGAGCTTTGGAATGGGGAGGGTCCTTAACACTGCAAGTCCCCAAGTGCTCCTGGAGGGTATTGCTACAGAGGATGAACTATAGGGAGTACTTGTGGGCTCCTCAGTGGTCTGGGCAGGGCGTGATGTTGTTCCTACTGGCTGGGTGGTGTGGCTCTGCTCTGCTGAGTTCCTAGCTTGACAAATTGCTGGGGTTCACCATAGTTAGGTCATCCATAAATGACTTTATAGACTAATTTTTACTCCTGGATAAACCAACGCTGCATTTTTTCTATGCTTTTTTTCCCCTTTGGCAGAATTTGTGCGTACACATCTGTGGTTGGAGTTTGGCTGTTATTTTGCAGTACCTCCTGCGTGTGGGTCCCAGAGGGTTCAGACCTCTCCAGGCACAGATTATGTGAAAACTTTCTATGCTGCCTGCCAGGTTGTAAACAAGGGCATTAGACTAGCAATGAGCTGAAGGCTATCTGCCCCATGTTATCAATGTCCTCTCCTGCTTCTGAATCTTGTCCCAGCTATTCAAGCTCAACACCGAGCATGAAGCTCACTTGAGTGTCTCAGGATGGATTTCTCTCAATGCTCGTACAAAACAGAGCCCTGACCTCCATGGGGCTCTTAGCACAGATGTGTCTGGCTGCTGGATCTGTGTTGCTCACTGGTAGATCGATAGAGCCCCACTAGAAGGATCTGCCACGTGCTGCAGGCTCTACCCAAGGAGCCAGATGTCTTGTACATCAGAAGATGCTTGGGGTTCGTGCCTATGTATTCCCAGTTCAGATTCCCATCCAAATAAAGCAAACCCCAGGAGGTGGCATGGGGCATATCAAGAGTGAGATGAGCATGAATCTTTCTGTGAACACAAAATTATTTCCAGTTTCAGAGTAAAAGATCTGTTGTGAAAAGCAGTTGTCTGCCAAATACTTTAGCATACTTCAGGCAGCACCTTTTTATTTTTTTAAACCTTGGAAGGGCAAAAAATATATAACTCTACACAATACAATGAGTTTCAATGGAACCATGTGACTAGATCAGTTCAGGTTTTACTATGAAAATAGTAAAGACTATTGCCGCCTTTGTAGGTAAGATTGTGTTGTGCTAGGCTTATTATAGCAAAAAGTTATTTCCTATTCCATCTTGACACAATACTGACTTATTTCCTTGGTAGGCCAGTTCAGGTATCTTCTGCACCTGTCTTTTATACCTCAAGGGGGAAAGCGGGGATGTGCCCCTGCAGAACGTGTCCTCGGGGCTGAACAGGCCTGGAAGAACGAAGCAGGCATGAGGCTGGCAGAAGCCATGTGGTGGGATAGAGCTGGGAAGGGGCTGGGGTAAGAAGTATGGGAACTCTGGTGCTGTTGACTTTCCTAGGGAGTCTTAGGGGTAATTAGTTGTAAAAGGTGGTGCCTCTACTCCTTCATTCTGAGTTGAATGTCTCATTGCTTTTTGTTCTTCTTGGCAGGAGCACCACAACTGCCTGCCACCTTCTCATCAGCATCCTCGCCTCATTTCTTTAAGCTCCCAGGCAACTCATCTTCATCTTATACTGTGATCCTCTGGGTTTCTTTGAGATCCTCTTGAAATTCAGCTGAAAGCCAAGGCTCTTTGTGTGTAGATGGATGTAGTGGCTCTCTGTATGTGGTGTTTTGTTTTCTGGAGATCTTGTGGGGTGCCTACTGTAAAAGCCTTTCTACTCTACTTGAGCGGGTTGCCTCATATTCCACACCAGCAGCTGCTCTTCTTTTCCCAGCACTGACCCTGTCTGGTAACAAGGGCAAGCCTTGGCCCTAAAGTCATCTGACTTGTAGTCTACCTTGATGCTATGTTCCTTAGACCAAAATCCCTTGCCTGTGCTAGTTAGGAAGAAGAGACTGGAGTCTGTTTCCATGAGGATATGGCCTGCTGTGAGAAGTTTGTCATCACTGAGGATGGTTACATATGGGGAGAAGGAGATGCTGGGCACACATCTCAGTCAGCTGCGGTCAGAACTGGGAAGTCTGACTTCTGTTGGTGCAGTATTAGTGAAGATGTGGCCTGGGGTTAAAAAGCAATGAGGATTTGTCTTGCAAGATGTTTTTGTGTTCAGGAACATCTACATAAAAGGGTATTTAGTGTTTTTTCTTAACATCTGTGTCAAAAGCATGTTTTTTGTCTATTGACCTCTGGAATAAAAAATAGGATGTCTGTGTAAAATTAAAAAATTAAAGTGCTTGAGGCAGAACAAACTCTTCTGTAGGAACTACTTCTGCTTCATGAGCTGTATAGTTACCCAGTAGGTACCTTTTGCATAGGTATTTTTTCTTTCCCCTTACTCCTCTGAAGCCAGAGGAGACTATTACAACTCCTTATGGCTTGAAATGTATTCAGCACAAGCCAGGGAGTGCCACACAGGTGCTGCCACACTGATCTCAATGATCTTGCTATGTGTAAGTTAATTTATTATGGTGCTGAAGTTTCTGTGAGTTTTGTGTTGTATGACCCTGAGGAGGTACACGAAGGGAAGCTCAAGGCAGCTCAGGCTGACACAGCTGCTGGTCATGGCATGGCAGAAGAGCTGACCCCGGTGTGCTGTGACCATGCCATCTCATGAAGCAGTTAGGACTGCTACCCTACATCTCACTGCCTTATGCTCCCTGTAAGCATAGGGACACTTCTTGCATCTTACCCTCGCTCTGTCCTGTTGCATCTGGCCAGTTACACAAAAGTTCCCCTCTTCCCTGTATGCATGAGTTTTGAATCAGGTTACCTGAGGAAATATGTGACTTTATTAATGCCTGTTCCTCTAGCAGTTACAGCTGGCTTCTGGTTGCACAGATACAAAGGAACAGTGGCTGTCCCAGCTCCAACAAAGCCATTCACATCCAGTGCAATTACACAGCCAAACTATGAAGACTGTGTTGGGGTTTTCGGCTTCCTAGCACTTTGGCTGGGTGATTTTTGCCACCTGCTGTCCAAATGTTCCTTCCTGATTGAAGCTCTCACCCCTCAGTAGCTGACCTCCTGTCACTGAAGTGGCTGTGTGCCCATGCTCACTCTGCACAACTAGTTACTAACAACTAGTTACTAGTTCAGTGCTGGTTTGTGAGTGGACCAACGCAGGAGGTAGCTCGTGTACAGAAAGGGATAGAAGACAGCTCAGTTCTGATGGAGCACTGGAGGGGGAAAAGCTGGAAAAAAATGGCAGCAAATTGAAGGTAAAGTTGCATAGTAGAGAGAGGAGACCTTAAATAAGGTCTGAAAAGGTTTCACGGGGTGAGGAGGAAGGGATGCCCGGTGGCTGCATTCATGTGCAAACAGGAGAGGGCTCCAGGCTTGTGGACCAGCATGGCATCCCGTGAACCTTGCTTTTTGCTGGGTGGACCCAGACAGATGGTCAGTGGTACTGGGTTCCCACAGGGATAAAGGAGAAATCCAAGAGGACTCCTGAGCTGGAGAAGCTGTTCTCAGCAAGGGCAGTGGGGGGCATTTGTGAGGGGGCATTAAGGAGCGCTGTGTTAAGTTGACTTGGGGACGTTCAGCAGTGGCAGGCTCCCAGGCTTGTCTGTGCCAGTTTGAAACCATGAATGCTCACTGGCTGCCGCTCTAGAACTAGCCAGTAAATCAAGTATCTAGAGTCAAATCCTTAGCTTGGTTTCCAAAGACTGACTCATTACACTTGTCTTTCCTGATCTCTTCCCCCCTGTGTTCCACATTCCTTGGGAAATTGGAGCCAGAGCCCTGTAAGTCTGAATTGAACATGATCTTAGTTTGCTAATCCTGAAGGCAGTTTATAAGGTAAGAGATCTTTAGTGGACCACAAGAGGATTATTCATCTGAAAAAGGAAGTATAGGTGTGCTGGTATGGTGTTGTAAACCGCTACCCTTTTGATCCAGAAAACTGGTGAAGGTGCTGTGTCCTCCTACGAGGAGCTGCTGCTGCTGGCATTGCTCCCTTGGTCAGGGAGCACATCTGTCAGCAGAGCTACACTGTCCAGAAGTCTGCAGCACAAACATCGCCTAACGTTTTTGGAACTAGCCCGCCTTTCAGCACTATTTCAGTGTCTCTTGTGGATAAGGATTTTCAGACAAACAATCAACCAGCGACCATATTACAAACCACTGCTTTAGCAAGAGGTCTTGATGCAGTTGCATATTCCATGGTCTGCAGTCATATGGGGTGTGGTTTGACCAAGGCTGGTTGAAACCAGTTTCAAACATGGACAGAAATGGGAGCAATGAAGGTGGTTCCAGAAACTGCACCAGGAGGAATGCAGGGGAAACGAGCACTGCACAGCAGATCTGAATGCTAATAAATGTGAGGAAATAAAATTGTTCATTTAAAAAAAAAAAAAAGCACAAAGCAAAAATTGTTGCCCAAGGGAACTGGCTTGTAGCACCAGAACCACATGTGGACTGTGAGCTGCTCAAGTCATGATGTTGTTTCGTGCCCAGTGCTGGGTTGGCTCAGAGCCAGAGATCTAAATTGCTCCAAATAGAGGGTGGTTCGGGCTGATGGCCATGGTCACCAAGACCCAGCTGTGTGCCAAACCCAACCCTGGCCCCCAGTGGTCCTTCAGAGTAACCAGCCATCACCTGCCTGTAAAGCTTTCCTGGGCTCTGTTTGGCTCTCCAGACCTGTGGTATGTGACTTGTGGGTCTCAGCCATGGGAGCGTTTCAGCATGCAGATG